ATGTGGGTAGAGTGGAATGGCATTTTGAGCCGAAATCTTTGTGTTGTGCCCCTGTCAAGCGGGTGTGCAACTTTGCAATCTGGACCTCCCCGTTTGGGCCTTGGCCTTTTGCAATAGCACCTAGGAGAAGTTGGCAAATATTGGGGCATTTTGCAAAGCTGGGCCGAACTTGGGCGGTACTCGGTAGGGGTACAATGCAAAGATGGCGGTCCAACCGATGCCAGGGGCATTTCACAAAATATTCAATTTAGTCAGAGGGGCATTCTGCTCTACCCACATCTTTTGGGGGCATTTTGGCATATACTTCATCTTCTGGGGGTATTTTATAAATTATCCCATTAAAAAAAAAAAAAAAACACAAGCCTTGCCTTTCTGTCAACTGTGCTGACTAGGACCGATTCACGCCTGTGCTCTTTGGTTTTCGACCACGTGCGGCCGTCCGTGATGAACGTCAATCATTGATCCTTTTCCGTATCGGCTGCTAGTGTCGATTGTCTTCGTTTTCGTGGAGGTAGGTTCCCTTTGGCCTGTAGAAGATTTTTAAAATTATTTGTTGGCCATTTAGTTGGTCACTTTGTGTTGGCAGAAAACTTCAATTCTATGGTTTTTTTTTTAGGGGGAGGGGTGTTCTCGAAGCTTCGCAGTGTGATTTCCCCCCCCCCCCCCGAAACTTCGTTACAGGTTACCACTGTACCGAGGTGATAGGAGCATCCTCGTTAAGTGGGCCTGTGGGGAAGGCTCCGTCTATTGGTGGGGAGCATCACCTGCTGTAAAACGGGTCCAGCGTCCCAGGAAGAGTACATGATTTGGATGACAAGTGTGAGATTGTAAGTGATCGCGCCGTGATTTTTTTATGTGCAGAAATAGAGAATATTGAAGTCCCGACGACTAGCTCAGTAGGTTTTCATGCCCGAGCGGTACCACGTAGGTGCTGGGTTCTATTCCCGTTGCTGTCACTTTTAGTGGCCTGAGAAGGATTGGTGGCCACGACTTGTCAATATTGGTAACTTGCTGGGGCGAGTTGTGTTGCCCCTGTAACCCATTGCAATCCGGGTGCATCGGGCCAAGTAGAAGTGGCTACTCAGGTCCTGCTGCGGCTGGTCAGGACACACCCAATACTAATCCAATAAAAGAGCTCTCAGGTTGAGTTCTCAGTCAGAATCATCATAGCTGACATTCATAATTTCGTGTTGATCAGGGTTGAGACCCTCAATTTCACGATATTTCCAGAGGCTTAAAAAAACTATCAACATACCTGTCACTACATAAGCTGAATAAGGAAGCTCAGTAAATCATGATCATGACATATAATCTACAATAATAACTTTCATGACTATCTCGAATTACCGGGGCCGGTCACCTGGGGTGAGGTCCCACTTAGCCCACTAGCAACGGGATAGGATAGAAGCGAGTTTGTGGGGCAGTTGAGTGACCCAAATCCTGTCGTGCAATACTCGTGATCCCATAGTCAGTATTTTACATGTATTACCTGAAAAAGTAAGAAGATCTCCGTTCCCCTCCTCCTCTTCTTAAACCACCAGTACTTGGCCCAGCTATCAGGCGCGACAGTTCCCCGTTAACGCGCCGCGCCTGTCGGGCTTCGGGGTACTGGACCACAATGGCTGGAAGCGCCAGCCAAAAAAAAAGTCGAAACGGCGCCCCGACGGTTTGACTTTATGAATGTCCTGATTCATGCTGATCAATCTGGCTTCATGCCAAATAGGAATATTCATGATAATATCCTCTTAGTCAATGAAACCATCAGATATGCTAGACAACGGAAGGTAGACGCAACGGTCCTTTTCATTGACTTCGAAAAAGCGTACGACCACATTGACTGGGACTTCCTTGATTTGTGCTTACACAGAATGAACTTCGGGGAAGCCTTCTGCAGATGGGTGAGCATCCTCCATAGATCAGCAGCCACCAACATCATGCTGAATAGTCATCTTTCCCCACCCTTCGTTCTCCAGCGGTCTGTCAGACAAGGGGATCCGATCGCCCCGCTCCTCTTCGTAATTGTCATGGAGGCCCTGGCGGCCCTCATAAGATCTAATAACCCCCAAGTCCAAAAAATAGACATACCAGAAATTTCACACCACCTCATACCAGTCACTTCCCTTTTCACAGAGGACTTGATGGTGCTCATTCGGGCCAACGACCGAAGCTTGAAAGCTGTAGAGGAAGTTGTCCACCTCTTCTCATCGGCAACTGACATGAAAGTGAACTGGGGAATAAAAATCGAAGGGTGGTGGTTACATCCCCAGGACCAAACTCCCCCAGCCCAACCCAGTGTCAATTGGAGAGGAAAGGAGGAGGCCATAAAAATTATGGGGGTCAGACTAACTGCGCTTGGGCCCCTGAGGGACCACGACGATAACCTTGTCGACATGACCCTCATAAGGATCACGAAATGGAAGGGTCTCCACACCTCCATTGTGGGAAGGGCCCTAACCATAAACCACTCAATTCTTGCAGTCATCTGGTACAAAACCGCATTCTGGAAACTCACCCCAAAACAACTAGCAAGATTGAGGAGAGCGGTAGCTACTTACCTCTGAAAAAATACGGACTCGGATTCCAGATGTGTCTACCGAGTGTCCTAGGAGCACATTGCTCAACCAAGTGGGAAAGGGGGATTGGGAATAGACCCAAGGGATGAAATTAACGCCCTAATTTTCAAATTCATCATCAAATTATTACTCGGTAATGACATCCCGTGGGCCCCCCTGGCCTACATCCAGCTATCCTGCTAGGTCCCGGACGAGGGAGCCCAGACCAAACTTCACCTATTAAGATGGCTTACCAACAACGCATGGTCTATCCCATCCCCACCGAGACACTGGAGAGAAACGTCACCAGCCAACCAAGTGAAAACAAACTTACTCACTGACCCTCTATGGACTGCGTGCATCAGCCTATGGAGAAGAAAAGACCCATCCCAAATAGCCACTCCTCTCTGATGGCGTGAAGTGGTGAGGCAACCTGTTTTTGGAAACCCACAAATAGTGGACAAAGATGACCACATGTTTGGTCTCCACTCTAACCCGCCATGACTCTCCTGGGTTAAAAAAGGATTCTATACCACAGAAGACATGTGAGACCACTCTGAGGGTGACTAGAAAACTCTACAAACATTGCGATCGAATCAAAAAAACACCAAAGATCTTGAACTAAAACGAGACCTGTTGATCGATGTAATACCGTTGGGGTGGCGGCTTGCACTCAAACAAGGCCCCTCACTCGAAATCCGGGATCATTTGTTGTGCTCTACAAGGACCTCCCAACCCCAATGAGAGTATATCAGATCACCCACCTCACTTTATCCACCGCAGTCGTGCAGGCCTTCGAGCCAGATCTCCCGGGTGCGAGATTCACACAGCTACGACACCAGGAAGAAGGAGACACGAAAGCAGCAATCTGCCAACTCATGAGAATCCGAGTGGTGGAAAACTGCAACCACGACAGATGGGTATACGAGTCTATTACACCGATCAGCAGACTCCACTTTGACCCAGCCGAGTGGGAATGGAAGGGAGGTAAGGAATGCAGATCTGGGAGTACACGGTTAAAGGAGGGTACAAAGCAGCATGCACCCTGCCTCAAACCCAAAGCACGCTCATCAAAAGATGGGAGAGAGACTCACCGCTCCAGGCAGCACACCTGCAGGACCTCGATTGGTCTACATACGCTAAGCTAATGCCCACAGCCCACTGAGCCCTCCAGTGGCAGATCATCCATAGATGCGTGCCCACACCTGATTGGCTAGTTTCACAGACAGACTTGGAACAGAGAGGTATCCTCTCACCAATCTGCTCCTTCTATGGGAGAGCTACCCAACCAGCCAGAGCAACCCTGGAACACTGTTTGCTAACTTGTCCAATGTTTGCCCAACTATGGTGCTGGTGGGATTCGGCATGGCACCACCTCACAGGTCAACACCTCCCATGGGATCCTGTGCTAATCCTGCTGAATAAGCGCACTCCCGAAACTGGACAATGGGATGCCTTCAAAACAAACCTATTCTCCTACACCCGTCTGACAGTCCTGCTCCTAGCATGGAGAATGAGGTGCTCCCACGAACGGACTGGCTGTGCTTTAGCTTCCCCCAGGCCAGGGGGCAATCATCAACACAATCACCACCCATACACAACAGGCAGGCAAAGAGCTAAAGCAACAGCTGCAATCCTCCAAGGATCACGTAGAGAAGCAGCAATGCCTGACCCTCTTCCACTCCATTTGGCAGAATAAAAACAAATTGCTCTTCGAATTGGACTCCCAGTTCAATATCCAGTGGAAAAGATGGGTTGCAAGTGAACCCACTTGGCAGCGTCTCCCTATGCATAGGTTCCAACTTCCGCACCCAGATCAGAACTTTATCCTCGGCCCCCCTCCCTGAAAACTACCCCTCCTCCCACCTCCCTTATCCCCGAATCATCCCGCCACTCCTCCACTACCTGCAACTTCCCCCACCCCTCCACCCTCTTTGCCCAGGGAGAAGCGATAAAGATGCAGGAAGGTTGCCAGAGACAGCACCTCACGCCGCTCACGGAGAGCAAAAGTAACATCTCCTCATCGCCAGGTGGAATCAAGGGCTCAAAAGCACACAGGCGAGGCAAGCCAAACATAGCGGATCTACAAAAACACAAGGAAGAGGGCGAGGAGCCGTGATTTCCCAATGCACTCAAAAGACAAGAACGGAATGCTGGAGTAGCCACGGGTTCTACGAGTGGGGGAAGAGGAAAGGGAGGACAGCCAGCCTACCTGCTCAGGACACCATTCACAGTACCAGGATCCAGTGGCAACAAAGGGCCCTCCGACAGGGGAAAGGAGAAATAACAACCTTCGAAAATAACCCTGCCCAATGCTCTTTCATCTAGCTAGGTGTTCAGCAAGCTCGGTCACCCTCTATGGGCTCGCAAGTAGACAAGCAAGTTAGTAACCCAGCTATCGATCTCGCAAACATCATCCTGGGCTGAAAGACCCAACAGGATACAAACAACTCTTCAACAATTTTGTTCATTCATACTTTGTGCAAGCAACGCGACAGGCTCACGATCGCAATAGCGCTAGCGACCGCACAAGGGGAGTTGCCGCGAAGGATGGTGGGGTGGTGGACGAGGGATAAGGATGGACCGTATGCCGCCAGGGCACGGAGGACGACACGACGAAGAAGGGGCAAGCCATAGCCGGCTCAGGTGATGGGAGGAGAGTGACCAAGAGGGGAGAACGAAGGTAGATTCGACAAGCGGCAGCGGGAGTTCCGGGAGGAGGGTGGGGATCCGCTAATTGGCAATACAACCGAAGAAGCGGAGTGATGACCTCACTACAACGGAAGACAGCGCCAACGTGTGAACGTGCGACACGTCAGTGAGCTTGCTCCCCTTGGGGCCCCGTATCAGGAGACTGATACGGTGGGGGAGCATCACCGACACTTTCCACTGCGAACACAGACAAAGGCGACCACGACGACGTAACGGTTTCGACAACATCCGACAAGCGACTTCTAATCACAAGTTGGTAACACAACCCCGACCCGATCCTTCTCCACCTCACCCGTCCCACCCCACCCTCTCCCCTGCGATCCCGACTAGCCCCCATCTCCCCCCCCCCCCCCCCCATCCGGACCTCCCCCTCCCCTCCCCGATCCCGACCAGCTCCTGTCTCCGCCACCCTCCCCCCCGACCGTCCCACACCATACTCTCTCGCCGCGATTTCGACCATCTCCCGTCACCGCGTCCTGTCCTTAGCGCGACCTTCTTATTACCCGACCCCTTCCCCCCGGGACCAGATCACCAGTTGCCCGCGCCCCACACCATACCCCTCCTGTCCCAAGCTTCTCCGATCTTGACCATCTCCCGTCTCCGCCCCCTCCACTGACTCCGCCCCTCATCTCCCCCGCGATCCTGACTATCCCCCGTCTCCGCCCCTTCCACGGCCGACCCAGACTTCCCCATCCTCTCCGTGATCCCGACCATACCCCGTCTCTGCCTCCTCCTCCCCCCTCGACAGTCCCATACCATACCTCCCCCTGCACCCTGGGCGGGACTTGATCCCGATTGCCCGCACCCCACGCCGTCCCCCCCGCCTTAAGCTTCCTCGATCCCGACCATCTCTCGTCTCCGTCCCCTCCACTATCCCCCATCTCCGCCTCCTCCACAACTGATCCGGACCTCCCCATCCCCTCCGCGATCCCGACCATCTCCTGTCTCTCGTCCCGTCAACCGCTTCACCCTCCGCGACCCCGCCCATCTCCTGTCACCGCTTTCTGGCGCGACCGACCGTCCGTCTCCGCCCCCTCCACTGACTCTGCCCCTCATCTCCCCCGCGACCCTGACTATCCCCCGTATCCCGACCATACCCCGTCTCCGCCTCCTCCTCCCCCCTCGACAGTCCCATGCCATACCTCCCCCTGCACCTTGGGCGGGACTGACTCCGCCCCTCATCCCCCCCGCGATCCTGACTATCCCCCGTCTCCGCCCCTTCTACTGCCGACCCAGACTTCCCCATCCTCTCTGGGATCCCGACCATACCCCGTCTCCGCCTCCTCCTCCCCCCTCGGCAGTCCCATACCATACCTCCCCCTGCACCCTGAGCGGGACTTGATCCCGATTGCCCGCACCCCACGCCGTCCCCCCCGCTTCAAGCTTCCTCGATCCCGACCATCTTCCGTCTCCGTCCCCTCCACTGTCCCCTCTCCGCGATCCCGACCCGACTATCCCCCATCTCCGCCTCCTCCACAACCGATCCGGACCTCCCCATCCCCATCCCCTCCGCGATCTCGACCATCTCTTGTCTCTCGTCCTGTCAACCGCTTCACCCTCCGCGACCCCGACCATCTCCCGTTACCGCTTTCTCGCGCGACCGACCGTCCCACACCATACTCTTGTCCCCACACCCTCTGCGATCTTGCCCCCAATTGCCTGCTCCGATCCCGATTCTTTGATCTCCCGACCACATCCTCGTCTCCTTCGACCAGCCCCCGACCACTCGCTCGACCACTTGCTCCCTCCCCCAGATCATTCGCTTCCCCCCCGCTCCGATCCCGTTCCAGCCAAATCCCGATCAGCTTGATTACCCCTTTTTCCCGACCTCAACTATCCTCCACCGCCCCAACAGCCCCGCCCCGCTGTGTGACTGCCACCCCCCTCAACAAGCAATCCTGACTTCGTCCCCGTCTCCTGTCCACATCCCGACCGTCCGTCCCCCTATCCCGATCATCTCCCTTGCACCTGATCCCGGGTACCCTCTCCCCCTCTACGCCTGGGTCTGGACATCATGGTGAACAGTAAGAGCAACAAGATGCAGGTCCGTCACCAGCGTGCACATAGGAAACTTGATTCCATTCTCCTGTACAGGGGGGCGGCGAGGCACTATGCCCAGAACCGGTTATTAGAGGACAAGGGGAAGGAAAGAGAGATCAAGAGGAATGAGGATCCTTCTCAGATACCAGGAATGAACGCCCAGGGAAATCAATCAGAAAGGGAGGAGTCGCAATCTGTCAGCAACATTCACTCAGGGTCCACCAGCTCAGCCCCTCACAGCTCGTCTGCCAAAACCTGGGCAGAAAGAGTGAAGGGGCCACTGCCCCAGGACACCATCAACATCCAGCGTAAGGAGGGGGGCAGTGAGGGAGGAGAGGAGGAATGGAAGATTCCCTTGATGAATCTAACTACTGCGGGGGCTTTCTTTCAGACTTGCCTCCTGTCCTCCACTGAGAAAAAGATTCTGCAGCAAGCAGGCAGGACTACGGTTGTTAGAGCACTTCCGGGGGATGCAGTTAGAACGAGAGATGCTCTGTACACCACCCATGCGAGCAATTGGGCATTCCATGATGATTCGACCTTCAAATCCACGAACGACAAAGTGGGTTGGATCAGGGAGCGCTTAACAACATTCAAAGGATCCCCTGCGAATGCCCGTGAGATGTTCCTAATTCATCCCATTTCAGCCTCGGTCATCACCATTCTGTCCATTGTGAAAGAAGATAAAAAAACAATGGATAGTTGGAAATCCCTCCGCTGCGATAGATACGAAGTTCGTATCTACCTTTGGGCCCCTCCGAAACCACAACGGCCAGAGGAGCTTAGGGAGCAGATGATGAGGGAACATTTTTGGGTGGAGTTCTGACACATCCCGATCGAAATCCAAGCAGCATTCGTTCAGGATTTCGCTGAGAAATACGATGTGGTGGACTTCATCAATCCACTACCCCCCCACATGGCCCGGAGAGATGATTACTTAATGTTGACCATCAATCTTGCAGATGATCATATATTCTCGATTGATGATGTCATCCCCTTTTGCGTGGGGGGGAAATTATATCGGATCCACACCGCTCACAAACTCAGGCCGTGGTGCTTTAAATGCCAGGCCTATGGTCATTTATACACCGACACAGTATGCTCCCGTCACCCTTCCCGCACGGCTAAGCCCACTGGATGGCTCCGGAAAGACCCCTTCGATGAATCCAGGTGGCGGACTGTCGACCCAGGATATGAAGGTTGGGTCTACATTGGCACACCAAGTGGGAAGGACGGGGAGATTACTGGTTGGTCTTGGGAAGGACAAGGAGACCCACGGCCACGGTCTCAACCTCCAGCAACGTGGATCCCTCCCAAGGCCTTGGAAGCACGTTTAACCCCCCGCCCCTGCAAAGACGAAAAAACAGGAATCTTGGAAAGTGGTCGGAAGGAGAAAAAAGGCGTCGCAGAAAACGATGTTAGACAATAAGGCAGGCACTGAGGACAATCATTTTGCTTGCCTTGAGGATAACGAGAACAACCTGGGACTGGAAGACAAGCTGGACCAGGATGGACAGAAACAGATCCCTAAGGAGGACCCGAAAGAACCTGACCAAACAAAAGAGAGGGAGGTGGTTCCAGGGGGAAACCCGGCTCAAGGCAGTGAATGTGCGCAGCAGTTATGGGACACACCGATTAAGGACACGGTAAAGGACGCAACAACGAATTGTGCAGTAGCATCAGGGGAGGGGGGGGTGAACGGGAGGGAAGTAGTCAGGGGACAGCAAATGCAGCCCCTACAAAACCATCAAGGGACGCGGTTGAAGCAGTAGGCGAGGGGGAAGCAAGTCACTCTGCAGGCGCAACAAGCACAACAAGCACAACAAGCATAACAATCGCAGCGAAGGCCCCGCTTGCCTGAACAGGAACAACATCAGGCTCCTGCCTCTCCGCAACAAGCGGAACAAGGAGAAGTACGACCACTGTCGCCTGATTTCTGCTCTTACGCCTTTGGGGCTCAGCAGATGGATGTGGACACATCCTCTCCTCCCCCTGATGTTGAGATGGAGGAGCCCCCACAAGACCCAGCAGACCCCGATGCCCCTCCCCATGAAATGGGCTTAGATAAGAAAATACAGGTGGTGGCAGATTGGATACTGAAGCACCTCCAATCGGACTGCCCATTTGAAGGGGAGGAAAACTGGAATACGTCTTATATCGAACTGGTGGGGCTTCTGAATAACAGCCCCTCACTGAGGGTTGCATTAACATCTGGCCCCCCTCCCCATCTTAAGTGGGCCGAGGCCTTCCAACGGATCTTGGCTGTTGCTCGGAGCCGTTTTCGCCCCCCTCGGTAGCTCATTACTCCGCGTCGAAAGAGCACGACCAATCGACACAGCCAGAGGCAAAAGGAACGGAAACGACCGACGAGGGGATGTCCTCACGAAGACTCAAACTAAGGCAACTCATTGAACGGGGTCTTTTCGAGCTGCCACTCTCTAAGCTAAATGCAGTACTAGTAATCCCCCTAAGAAAGGCGGAAGGAAAATGGGAAGTAGGCCTTTCCCCAGCAGGGGAGTACGGGGGCGTAACACTACAAGGCTGGGAATTCTCGCTCCAGGGGGGTGACCAGGGAGAAAGGGCCAGGATCTTCTCCAGCCAAATGACCGCCTTTATTCCTAAACACTACGCCCCAGGGGCGAGTGCAGGCTTGGGATTTGAAGCTTGTTGCGATGAGCAGATGGCCAGAACGATCTCTACCTGCTCTTCGAGCCCAACAAATCTGCCAACCTAGGATGGTACAGTCACAACGCTCTCCTGGACCTGCAGTGTGCAAAAATAAAGACCAGCGAATACTGGTCCGAAGATGACGTTTGTAGATGTCTGTGCCGTATGGTGCGGAAAAGGATTTTACAGCTAGACAAATGGGATGTCAAGAAATGGCATCCGCTATGAGACAAGGGGAGCTGTCACTAAGCAATGGATGATTTAGATATACTATACGGTAGTAGCCCTGCTTGGAAAAAATGTGTCGACACTGCCGACATGGATCTTCGCTCCCTTAATGTAAACGGTCTGGCATCAAGCAAACCAGAAAAACACCAGGCCATCTAGGATCAACTCAAGGGCATAGGGGGCAGGCGGTGGCCGGATGTAATCTGCATACAAGAAACCCATCTGCAAAACATTCCGGATCACAAGAGAGCCCATAATCTAGCCTGGCCTCATACGGCCATAAGAGCTCACGCTCCAAATCTAGGCTCAGCCGGGGTAGCAATTTGGATCCCCCCTGAGTCTAGATTTCAACCAGTTCACTGGGCAGTGGACGAAGTGGAGGGGCGATGGGCCTCTGTCCTAAAAATGTTAGAATTAGAACTCCTCTGTATCATCTGTATCTACTCACCTAACTCAGTTGGAGAAAGGAGGGAGTTCTTGGGGAGAATCGGATTGCAAATCCCAAAAGGTATACCATTAATAATAGCTGGTCACTTCGATGCAACCCCGAATAAGAGTTTGGACAAATGGAACCCACAAGAATCTCCCTCCTTCGCTGCAATGGAGGACGAAGAAATGATAGCAGACCTCTGCGAGTCACTCTCAGTCTTTGATACATTCCGACGTCTGCATCCTCAAACACGAACATTCACATGCATTCGAGACAGTAACCCGACGTGCCTATCCAAGTCTCGAATAAATCTTATTCTGCTGTCTAACGATATTGAGGGTGCTCTGCGGTGGTCAATGATTCTCCCTCGCAGCCCGCCCTCGGGTCTCGATCATAAGACATGTGGCATAATACTAGCAATGCGGAAAAGGCCGGATCAAGGGTCAGGCTTCTATAAACTTAATACCTCCTTACTCAATGACTCATCCTTCTCGCATATAGTTCGCCACGAATGGGAGTTCTGGCGCAAACAAAAACACCTTTTTGATTCCTATCTTGAGTGGTTTAACAACGGCCTAATTTTTCTAACCAGAAAATGTAAGGAATTTTCAGA